GTTTCTATTTTTTCGTGGACAGCTGCGGTCGGTTTTAGACTCTATGTGTTTTTTATTTGTTTAAGTTCCTTTACTAAGTTCCTGCTGAAAAGGACAAGAATTGGACAAGAAAAGATAAGACAATGAAAACAATTTAACAAGAAAAGGAACGGAAAATCACAAGAAAAGGAAAACAAAAGGAACATAAAAGGAACAGACATGGACAAAAAAAGAAGAACTATGATAATCGAGGGGAACCATATTCTATGTTTCAAAAATTTGGTTGACTTGAAAGCTCGAAATCCACGTTTTCTTATTCTATGTACCCGTTTGGATTTTCAAAACGTTTGTGGACAAAAACGGCCGGAACCTTCAATTCCATATTCTATGTACTCCAGGATGGTTATACATAGATATAATATATATATATGTGTGTATATGTATTATAAATAAATAAATATACACAACAAGTCTTTTAACTGAGCACCTCATCATTGCGCTTTAAACATGCATGCGCCAGAACTAGGAAACAGTACGTTTTTCTCATTGAGCCAATGTCATTGTGAAACACCTTCCCAATTGCACAACTAACAGTAGCCGCACAATTATGAGCCGCCTGAGCACCACGCATAATGCTTATTTGGCCCAAGCATGGTGGGTCAGCGTCAATGAAAAGACCACCTCTTTCAGGGGGTGGTGGGAAGGCAACAAAGGAGCCGTCGTCATCGGCTCTATATGGCTCAAGCCAGAGCAGCATTGTTATTTTTGGGGGGGGAGTGGTGGGAAGGCAACAAAGGAGCCGTCATGGGCTCTATGACAAGCCGATTTTAGGACACCCAGATGCATTTAGGACACCCGGTTGTAAAGGAAGTGACTTGTTTCTGAAGAGCTCCAGGGTGGCCGTGGAGGACATGTCAGGGAGTCGCGCTGCTTGATGTAGCAGGGTTGACTGGTCAGTGATGCCAATGACGGCGTGGTTGATGCCGAGGACATCTCTGCAGTAGAAGACGTCTGTCTGGATGCAGTCATTGAACTGTCCCTCATTGGCCACTGGAACCGCTGCTGGCCTTGGTGGTTTGGACGGTTTCGTCCTGATGCAGCTGGCGCAATGGAGGTACTTGACGGCGGTGATCATGTGCTTGGAAATGGCGGTTCTTTCTCACCTGGATGGCCCAAGTTGAGGTGAAGCCTCTTGACTGCGGCTTTGACTTCTCCAGGGACGTCGTTGGGGATGTTTGGAAAGGTGACCACGTCAATGGTAGTGGTCGAAGGTGCTGGCTTCACTTGTTCTGGCTCGCCAATACCAAACCAGAAGATGGCCAGCGAAGCGGCCTTGGCGAAGCGTTGATTTGGAAAGTGCATCCCGTCCAGGGCCTCGGCTTCTATGCTGATGTTGCCGTCCTGGTACTCGATGGCTGCGCCACGGTGAGTGTAGGTGATGTCGATGGGAAAGCGTCTTTGTGTTGGGACTCTGGCGATCTCAATCCGCGCAATCTCCCAAGGCACCAATTGACAGATGGTGCTGTGAAGCGGGTCATTGTCCGGCAAGATGATGGACCTGACCGTTGTGGTCTCAACTTGCGGACGCTGTTGAGAGCGTCCATCCAGGCTGCGGGGTCCTGCATAGGTTCCTCATAGAAGACTTCATGAGCCTGAATGAATCGTTGTGGACAGAGTCGTCGTGCCTCAACCTTGAGGGCCTTGAGAATGGCCCGGCACATCTTCTCTGGATATCGTGCGCTGAGGCGCACTTCCTTGCAGCGCCACGCAGTTACTGCAGTTCTTCTTGACTCATCTTCTTGGAGAGGGCGACGGCGATCTCGGAGGAGTTGGTGAGCCATTGATAGACTTTTCTGATGGGATCACCATGGCTGTTGCAGCCGCCGTATGCCCCGGCGTGGCGGTCGTCCTTGATCTGCTGATAGCATGCGGCGATGCCCTCTTGGACCAGGGATACTGCAGTTCTCTCTTGTAGTAGAGCTCGTCCATGCGATCCTTGCCCTTGTAGTTCAGGTTCTCGTTGAAGATGTTCCAATCAGTGCACTCTGTCTCGAATACCGCAAGGAGCGGTTTATAGGTCCTTTGTGCACTTTTCCAAGCCTGCTTGTCCTTCCTGAGGGTCATGTCCTTGCCGTAGAGGAGGTCAAATGGCTCCATCGCTTGTAGACCGTATTGATGTGCCAGGAAGGTCAAGTCAGCATGCCCTGCATAGAGCTCCATGACGTCGATCTTTGGAACGTCCAAGGCGGCAGGCATGTCGTCATAGATCTGAGCCTCGAAGGCGAGGACGTTGGCTGCACGGTTGAGGTTGCCAGCTAGCCGTCGATGGATGCCCAATCGAATTCTTGGTCGCTGTGCCCCTGCTGTTCCTGCGTCGCCAGGAGGCGCTGATAATGAGGATCGTTGCCCGGTGGAAGCCGTGGATCCTCGAAGCCCAGTTGAGTCCTCCCAAGCTCCCAGCTGACGGTCCAGGAGTTCCTCGACATCCGGACTGTTCTCCGACAGGGCGATCGGTGAAGGAGGGATCGCCGGTGCTCCATGCCGCTTCTGGTAGTCGATGATGGTCTCCATGATGGTCCGCTGTCCTCGAGGGAGCGGTCCAGAAGTTGCCGGAGATGATGTCTTTGAGGTCGTCCCAGTAGGCGGAAGTGGGAGCTGCTCTTGGCTGCTTGCAGGGTAGCCTGATCGATGGCCCGTCCATGAGTGGTCCAAGACAGTGGCTGATGAAGGCAGTGGCAGCCGTGAGGAGCTGGATGCTACGCTGAACTGCTCCCAGCCTTGTGATGCTTGGTTCCACTTCCACTTGATCAGGCACTGAAGGCATTGGGCATAGCTTCCGTGCTTGTTGCCGGATCTCTTGATGTGCTCGTGGGTGCAGTCCGTGGGGCTCACCACGTAGGGGGTCGTGTTCTTGGCCTGGTTCTTCGCCTTGGCCTTTGGCTTGCGGCTGCAAGGACTGCACTCGAGGTCGCCTCCACTACCGGCTGCCGCCGGTTGAACATGCGCGCTTGCCTTGCACAGCGCATGAGGCATTGAGCCAGGTGTCTCCACCTCCATAGCCAAAAAGGAGGCGGAGGCTTCTCCACGTCCATGGACTGCAGCAGGCGTCCGGCCTGTCTCACGCGGTCCGGAAGATTCCGCTTGAGATGAAAAAGCAAAATGCAAAAACTCACGAACTTGCCCGGTGCTGCACTGCTGAACGATCTCGGAGTGGCGCTGGTGCCAAAGAACAAAACATGCTTCTTGCTCCTTATAGGACATCCAGACCCAAGTGCCCATTGACCATGACCAACGGCAGGGTGACACCAAACAACTCGAAGCGAACCCTCTGGTTGGCGAGATCGATGATGGCTACGACGTCTTGCAACCAAGTCCGGCTAACCAAACAAGGTATGTGGGCTTCCAAAACACAAGGGGCCATGACGCAAAGGTTCCGACCGAAGGTCATACGTCGATGTCTCGCTCTCGGCCCCCCCGCGGTCGTTTGGTCCAGGAGGACCCAAGTCAGGTGGTTGAGGTCCTGGTGCTCGGTGGTCAGCAGGATCACCTCGGAAGGCTCGGGGAAATAGGAAAGGACATGGTCCCATAGGGCGTTGCTGCCCTTGCTGAGCTGGTCGTTCACGTCGTCCTTCATGTAATTCATCTCTCTGGATGCCATGAACTGGTAATCCGTGGGGATCAGGGTGTAGTGCACTAGCGCATCCATGAACTGGTAATCCATGAGGATCAGGGCGTAGTGCACCGGCGCATCCATGAACTGGTAATTCGGGGTGTCCAGGTTGTAGGCCACACTGATAGGGCGTACCAAAAACCCCAAACTGAAGACCGCCAGGGAAGGCGCCGTGAACTGGTAGTCCATGTTGTCCGAGTTCGGGTACCTGAAATACTCCGTAAGGTCCATGGTGAGGTCGACCAGGCAGCGACGTGGGCGGACAGGTAGACGATGTAGTTGGAAAACCTGGTGCTGCTTGGAGGTTGGGCTCATGCATCCATGGAAGGTCGCTAGGATCATCTAACCATGGCTCAGCCTGGTCGTAAGTCTCCTGAAGCACAAAGGAGGTCGACCGGCATGAAGTGCAGCGCCACGTCCGGTGAGCCTCATCCCAAGCGAAGTTCATGGAACCACAGCCAGCACATCTCCAGTCATCCTCGGCATCGAGGGCCACGTGCTGGGCTTCTCGTGAACCTGAAGAGCTCGGAGAGGAACCTGCAGGGAAGGTCGCCAAGCTGCGCCGCTCGGCGCTTGAAGTCCAGGGCCCGGCGCCGAGCCACCAAAGACCTCGCGAGCCACCGGCATGGCGAAGCTAAACCTACGGCAGGCTCCGCTGCCAACTCAGTGCATCGCGTGCTGCTGCGCGCACTGCTTTTCCGCTGATGGAAATTGAGGCAAAAGGTGCGCCTAGTGAACCGGCGAGGTGTATGCATCACGAACAGGTTGCTACATCTGCAAATTCACACTAAGTGTCTGCTGACTTTGTCAGAACGCATACAGTATGTAGCGGGTGCTTCTCCACTTTTGGTGCGCTCACAACTGAGCAGTTGATTCAACATCACAAATGTATGTGCACATGTGCACGCGGTTGTGTAAGTGCAGATGCTTCATTTGCAGTTCCCCATTAATCTCATCTTGTGTCTTGCAGCTAAGCATTACAGAAGGTTGGTTCTGAGAGAACTCGCTCCTGAGACTCCTTATATAGATCTGTTGGGTATGCGACAAACAAATGAATGTCCACTGTCAAACCTTGATAAAACGGTTCTGGTTTCAAGGAGACTCTTGGGTGTTGCTACAAGTTATTGTTCCAACAAGGCATTGTGATCATTGTGACTTGAGACGTGCGCAGGCTCCGAACAAATCTGATGTAGTTCACACACTCCACCAAAATAGAATGAACTAAACTATAACGTCATTGTCTTTGCGAGCAACTTAAGGGCTGTACAGAGTGTAGTACAGCGGAATAGTATAGAATAATGTGGAATACACTGACTATTTTTTGGTAATGGTCATGAGCTGAAAGCCACTCCTGCCCAATGTTCTCATCTTCCCAGTCAGGAACTCCTTCGTCAATCTGTTCCAAGGCAGTTCGTCGCTGTACACAAAGCTCAACCTCAAACGGTAGTTGCACTTGACTTGAAAGCACCACTGCAGCAAACACAGGCAGAGCTTAGCGCCAGGCGAAACGGAGCAACCGCTGCTGAGCTTTCGGAGCCAAAGAAAGTATGACGGCCTTGCAGTTGAAAGCGGGTCAAATGCTTTACTGCAAGTACGGCAAACAGGTTGAAGCATATACTGATACTATATAATTAGATTCCAAAATGAATCTCGTGAATGCGCCAGCACCATCCACATTTGCTGCTTGGTTCTATGGGCGGGCCCCTATCATTTTCGAGGTTTGCTTCACCTAGCGGCCCAGCGCTTTCCATGCCCTTGGCTTTGACAACGCCACGGCATTTAAGTAGGTGCACAGAACAGAATTCACATCTGGACGCCACACCTGGGCTCTCATCTTCCACTTTCGCCAGCCTGTGATTTCTTCCTCACTGGCTAAACATGATCGACTTGTCCCACAACTCGCTTCGTGCACTGCAGTCCTCATCCTCCGCCTGGCCTTGCCTCTCACGTGTCTACATTGAAACCCAAAGTCTGAGACCCAAATGCATTAGTGTGAAATCAGATCTAGAATAGCTCTACTGAGAAGCACCAAGCATTGTAGGCTTAGTTGGCTGTATTCCCTTAAAGGACCAATCAAAAGGAGTGGGCTTCTACCATCCAAAGTTGGTTTCATGCAATTCAAGCAGCAACCTGTGATCTTACAGAAATGCCTGCCTCGGACCAATGGCTTGCCTCGATCTTGAATTTGACCTACCAGCGCTTCGGCGCGCTAAGTCATTCTATTCAAATCTCTTCACTCTTCTATACCCCAACACACTCGCTAAGAAACTGTAAATTGAAGTCCTGTCTTTAAGTCTTTGAGGGCACGCACAAACATGGATTTGGAACGCCCCCTATCCAGGCTTCTAGATGAGATAAAAGCCAAACATATTCATGATGTTCACTCAAAAGCCAAAAGCCTGTTTTGGTCTGGGAACGCTCCAATATCAAGCTGGCATGAGACTTATCGGTTCCCATGAAAAAGCTGAGCCTGGGATGTGATGATTGTGATGTAGGTGTGCGCACTTTTAGCAATTTTAGCTGAAGCACTCATTATGGTCTGCATTCACATACAGAAGTAGAGAAACTGTAAACACCTTTGGCAAGCACACAACAAGTTCCCTGAGTGCGATGCGGTTGCTTTGCCTCGAACCAGCATCACATGGTGATCAAACACCGAAAGCCAGATTAGACCATATTGATTCGATTCTAGCGACAAGCGGGACTACATTTTCTGAAATCAAGACTATACCTTTTGAGCCTCAACAAAACTCATATTCAGCTATGAACATCTGAACATCTATGCACACAAAAGGATGGAGCTGGGTCTCGCCTTTGTTGCTTGAAGCAAGTACAGCATTGGTCTCAAGCCTGTCACACAGTGCAACGTCAGTGTAGCTTCAACAAGCACAGCCACGGGCCATAGTGGTACAGGGTTGCTTGTGCCTAAGAGCCGTTCCAATGGCTCCCAGTCAATGCTGTCTTCGCTGTGTTCTTGGTCCTGTAAAACAGCAGGGTTCGTAGGTGCTTTCAGCGAAAATCCACTCCAGCCTGGGATTCAGGATCATGCAGGTAAATCCGCATACACTCAAGATTCTCAACCTGTAGGAATGCCACAGCTGCAACATCCCCCTTCGCCCCAAATCACTGCGTCCAACTGAGCTACTGTGCACCGCAAAAACAACAACGCAGCCTCTGCTCGATTCAGCTTGCGGATTGCTGGTAGCAACTTGACATCCCAGCCTCTCAACACGGCATGATCGGCGTGGAGAAAACAAACGTAACTGACTAGTCACAGCTCTCGGAGTGCAATCCTTCAGGCATCGAACAGTTTGGTTTCAAGATCAAACAAATAGGAGAAAAAAAACCAATAGGTAACATATTGCCTTTTAGCCCAGACTCCGGTTTAGGCCGAAAAATTGGTTTGAGGTCTGTGAGTTGGAGGTGAGACGGGTGACAAGCATCCAACAAAACAGTTGACTCATTCAGGAGTGTACCAACTGTTTTGTTCAAAGCGCTTCAGCTGACATGTGTAAGCGACTTAAACCTGTAGCCTCCAAGCAACACTGCACAATCCGCTACAAAGAATTGTCATGACTAATCTTGAAGACAACCTGTTTGTTGAGACGAAACACATGCCGAAGCAAAGCACCGCACCCTCTGCTTCAGCTTCGCTTTCTGTGACCAGGGCTCGCAATGCAGAGTGCAAAGCGCTCAAGCAACTGGGAGCCTGCACTGCTGAAGCAAAGGCGATGGTCACCACAAACTACAAACACCGCTGTGTGTGTGTGCACCCTCACATACTCTATCTGCACCATATCGGTATACTACCTTTCCTCTTGACTCGCCATGGAGCAAAAACAAAGCAACCCCTTTGCAAGTCAAGCAATGCAAAACGCCCTAAGTTGATGGCTCCACTGCGAGGACCTTCTTTCGCCATAGCACCTCAATAAGCGGTTCTCGCAATGAGCGGTGCTTGTCTAGTCTGGCAATATCTGGCACCTGGCCGATAAGGCCGAGACAGTCAAAACTTAGTCTTTCCAGTGCTGGATGCAGGGCTTCCTGAGCAGCTGAGACTACCCAAGCTGAGACTTCTCTTGCAGGTTGCCCAACCTCGGCTGAAGTTGGATCGCGTTGTGCTTTTGCTGCATCGCCTGAAACAAAGATTGCGCGTGAACTGTGCAACACCGAATACTGCACGTCTCCGACCAGTGTTACGTCATGTCATGACATATCATCGCCGTGGTTCATTTCACCCAGAAAGTGTATCCAATGAGTCAGCAATCGGCTTGTGATGCCTGATACCAGCAGGTGCCCAGCCTTGTTCTTCTTCCTCTTCTTGTTCTTCCTTTCTCTCCTCAGCTTGAGCATCCTGAGGATAATAGCAGAACGGTTACCGTCATGGGATATATCCTCCTTTTATATCCTGGTCCTTGTCTTGTTTGACTGTCGGTTGCAGGTTGAAACATGCTAATTTCGCTTCTTCGTACCTCAGGGTGACCCTCCTCAGCTTTACCTGTCGGGCGCCAACTTCCTGGGGGCAGATTTTGGAAGAAGAATGAAGGAAAACAAATGCCAGGCTTGCCTCCTTTGTCAACCCGCGTCAGGGGCACAATGTCCCGGTTTGGATATCGATTGTAGTCACCCTGGTCCTGTCGCTCAACTACGTAAATAAAGCAAAGCCAGCACAGCAACGCCCTTGGACCTAATAAGCATCAGTGCCCATCGAATTCCTACAATCTTACAACATTCTATTCTATCGATTTCTGGAAAAATACAACTCATTACAACTCTTCTTATCACAATACCTTAAGCATGAAAGCACTCTTGATTGCGCCTCGTTGTCCGCCTGCCATTTGCTAAAGAGAGATCCGGTTCATCCATTGCCAGAGTCAGTTGTTCTCTCAAGGCACCTCCGTTGTGTAGTCTTGCGGCTCTGCAGTTGACCTTGTGAGACGATGTTCAAGGTGGCTTGAATGCAGGCTCTCTTGTGGGTTGAGTACTGAACACCGCAAAAACATGTCGACCTCTTCCAGAAGTCAAGTCTCTAACGGCCATCTAAACTGTACAGGATCATCGTCACCAGAAGCAGAGCCTCGTCCTCAACAGGAATCAATGGTACGAACACACGGATCATCCAACAAAGCGAAACAACTGGCCAGTGAGCCTATGATAGCCCGTGAGATGCTTGATGGCCCATGATGGCATGAAGAAAGAAGAAGTTCAATCACACTTCCAAGGACTCATGAGTCATGAGGTGCACGCACCCGCACCTGAACCTTTGCGCCTTCGGCTGGGTTCCTGGGAATGGCTCGGCCGTGCTGGTTCTCTTTATCATGTTTGCTGCACCTCGTCAAAGAGGCCCACCACCTGCCTCTTTCCCTGGCGCTGTTTCAAGATTCTTTAAGTCATGCAGGTTTATCAAGTTCCTGCTGTTCAGATGTTCGAAGTTTCAAGAACAACTTGCCTTTTCATCCTTGAAGCTTTGTTTGTGGACCATTTCGTAGTGCTCGATCAAGGCCTTCCAACTGTTGGCAAAGCAGCTCTATTGACATTCAGCCTCAGCCTTGCAGTGGTTCTCACTTCACAATTGGCCTCTTCGTGGGCGAAAGCTGTTTGGCGATAACCGCCTTGCGCACAGTCCTTGAAACACCAAGATTTGACTAGCTGAAGTATCGACTGTGGAAGTAAATCCGAAGAAAGGTCTCAAATGTACAGGTTCCAACTGTCATGAATGAGAGCACACATGTCCTTGTGGGCACAAACGTAATGCTTCTCTTGGTAGTGCCGTGACAAACCTAAAGAACATCATTCTTCCTCGACGATATGGTTCACATCGCTGAGCTAAGGGTCCAGCACTTCAAATTCAAATAAAACTCGTTCTTCAACCCCAAAGAGTCGCACAATTGGCATAGAACATGCCTGTAGTAACAAGTGCATCGCTAGTAGTAACAGGTGCCTTACTAGTAGTAACAAGAAGCTATTAGAAACAAGTGCCACGCTAGTAGTAACAAGAAGCTATATAGAACATGCCTGGAAAACATGCGTTTTTGGGCCAACTGCAGTCTGCAGAATCCACTGCAGTTTGCAAAATCCTACACATGGCCTCCTGTACACATGTGCGAGCAAGGTCTCCTCGTTGAAAAACCTCCCAAACAAGGCAAGGCCTGTCTGCGCATCTAAGAGCCTGCTCACCGCACTCCGCGCCTTTGGTTGCAAAACTCACATCGGGGGTGAGGCGGCACCTCAAAAGCCGCATCAAGCCGATGTCATAAATGGCATTAAATGACATCAAAGGCATGCGAAGCACAGCTGCCCAAGGCTGCACAAGGCTACACTATGCCCAAAGCTGTAGGCATAGCTTGTTGCTGCACCATCCTCAGCTTAGCATAGCTTAGCTGTCTCGTAGCTTAGCTGGACTTTCAAGCCGTCACCCCATCTGAACCTTCGTGCGAAAAGACATTTATAGAAGTTTGCTTACAGACTTGGATTATTGCTTAGTCCCAGAGTCCTGCAATGTCTCCGAGGCAAATGTTTGTTGGAGCAGCTGATGTCATACTTTGGTGCCATTGGTACAAACTGTACTCCAGATACGTAGACTTAATGGGTAATTAAGAGACCAGCATTGCGTAACCAGAAATTCTAAGAGCAGCATCATCGTGCACTCGGCAAAAAAAAAATCATCTTGCAATTGACCTTTTTAAAGCTCAGCAAACTCTGCATCGCCGCTGGGATTGGTCCTGAGCAGCGGATTGTGTGGAGATTCGGAATATAGTTGAGTACGAAACCATGCCTGGAGAATCCATTTCTCACCCGCCGTCACTGGACAAGAACAATGGACTGCGTGCGGGTTTAGCTTTGAGTCCAGATCATGAGAAAAGAAGAGGACGGCACGTCCTTTTCTTGGATGCACCCGCAGCATAGCTGGATTTGTCGAATTGCAGCACCGCTCCAAGACGTAGCACTTCTGCTCCATGGGGAACAAGGTTTCTCCTCCTTCTGCGTTGCTCAAGTACACAATTGCGGTCGCAGCGCGAAGCACGCCTTGTCTGGGCTCAGAGTCGAAGTGACAATCATATTTTTCACCAATTCGATACCGCCCGATCTGGATTCTCTCGCCATGTCCCAAGGGTATGCGGGCCAGCTTGTAGAGCCGGCGTACAAGTACTTGAATGAAAGGGTGTTCTAAGCTGTCTTTCGCTGAGACGTACATCTGCATGTTCGTGCGTACGGGATCAGGAACGACTTTGCCTGAGCTCCGATCAATAGTCAAGGATGGCTCCAGGCCGGGTTCGCCATGTTCTCGCAGCTCATCACACTCAAGTTCAGTTAGAAAATCATCGACCTGGTAGATGCGAGGAAAGCTAGAGAGCTCAATCATGTGCTGATCGTCGTGCCAGGCCAAGATGGAATCTTCAAATGCTGAAACGACTGCAAAGCAAACAGCCGTCGCAGTTCGAAAGAATAGAGCATTGCATGGCAACATTTCATGCGTGAGGGGTGTCTTGTGCAGATGAGGCTGCTCGATGCGGCTGACAACAAGTAAGTATTCAACGAGCTCTATCAAAGCTCCCCAGCATCCTCAACACCGAGGAACGACACATGAGGCGTACATAATTACATGCTCACTGTATTTAAATTGCTTGGATTCCTTAAGCCAAACCAAATATGTAGAGCTGCATAGCTTTCATTCCGTTGAGATTCACAAATTTGAGGAAAATCTCAGCCAAGCTTCATGTTGCTAGTGTCACCTTCCCAATTGTGCCGATTCATGTCGTCATGGGCATATACCTGACATGCACAAAATGCTTCTGGTCAAGCGAGTTTTGCCTCCAAGGCTTGAACACGTTGTTCGCAAATAAATGCAGACCTGGACAGGTTAATCCGCTAAGAACTCGCATCATCTCACCAAACACAGCAGCCGGATGCAGCCAGCCTGTCTTGCAAACAAACTTTGCAGAGCTGCCGCCAATGTGCTTCCCAAAGGTGGTTCTGAATTTACTGAACTCCCAACAAATGACCAATGTTGGCGTCGCTTTGGAAGGATTTAGAGGGACACATGTGCGCATCCACATGTTTGGACAAAATGAATCCATTCAAGTCAACTTCAAGTCCTCCAACTTCGTGAGCGTTCGAAACGCCACATCTTTCTTGGCACAGCCTCGGCTCAGAAAGGACAATTCAGTTGGAGTCTTACAATAAACTATAAACACAATCATGTGGCGTGATATGCTGCAAGAAAATTCTAAACACCCATGAATTCTCAAGCTCACGACCCTCGATTTGACATCGATATCCTAACAGCTGCAAAACAGCTCTGCCTTCAGCTGCAATGGAGGTCGCTCTCTGTAATTTGGTGAAGACACTCAAGCAGAATCATACCAACTTTCAAGTGCCAAACGAATAATGTCATCTGCAAAGTAAATCCACGGGTCTTCGTGATTGAGCCCAATAAAGTCCTCCAATCTCAGCATTGCAGGTGCTTGAAACAGGCCTGTGCTTCGTTGTGGCCTCACAGCTCTATTGCCTGTTTGGGATTGAATGCTGTACGCTTCATAGTCGAGTTCTGTAGATTCGTGTGAAGACCAACCAGGTGACAGAAAATCTCACCCATTGCGGTCCATGGGCTCGACAGAGGCCGATCTGTCACTTGTAAGAAGAACCTAAGCGAACTTGGAGTGATCAAGTAGCGATGGCCTCCCAAATAGCCTTAGTCTCCCCTAATAGCAATGGCCTCCAGCTAATAGCGAGGGCCTCCAGCTTAGTAGCGACGGCCTCCAACCTCATAACGATGGCCTCCAACCTAGTAGCTTTTGGAGTGCTGATCAAGTCTATTGGAGTGCTTTTGTGTGATATCGCTACCTCCATCAGTTCTTCGTTGCACAGCGGGCAGCGCGTGTCCTGTCAACCATCACTCAAACTAGAACACCGGTTCGTTCAATCTAACATAGAACATCCGCTCCTGGTTCAGGAACCGTAGTCTCAAGGTACAAATCCAACACACTTCAGCGTGCCTCGAAGCGAGAAGTGTGAGACCTTTTACATCCGGGACCTGTTTCAGCTCATTTGAGATGTTGTTTCTTAACGCGGCTAACGAATCAAGTTCCAATGCATCTTGTAGAGTACATACACACACAAAGGAAATAAAGCCAACATAAACGAAGGACTAAGGCAACTCGGCCTACACCTGCCAATGCCCACGTAGCTTGGCCTTTCCTCTGCAGTAATTGTACCAGTAGCCGTGAAAACACACAAATGACTTATTGTATAGCCAAGAAGAACTGGTTCAGTCAAGAACTGGTTCAGTCTCAGTCTGCTGAATCTGGCAGTCCTCATGGCAAAGGACGCAATGCTCCACTGGACCTGTAAAATGCATTTCTTGGGCCCATTCATTCATCAAATCACCAAGTGTCAATTTGATCTAGTAAAACTGATCACTACCAGAATATCAGAATTCTGAGATGTCTCTCACTGTCCCATCAACTTTAAACGTGCCAGGACAGCTCTTCAAATGGCTGGCCTCTTTGAGTCTCGCCTGCACCGGCTATCTGGTTCCGGCTGTGCGCAGACGGCACACCAGCTGAAACAAGAAGCGACAAGCGCAAAGTCTTGCTGCATCATAATTTCTCATGTCCTATCATGTGTAAACGCTCGTTATCACAGGCTGTGATGTCTAATCTCCAGTAATCGAACAAGGGGTCCACAGGTTATTCATAGATTGGTGTCAAAGCCACCAAGAAAACTGTGATAGATTATCTATCATCATTTGGTGCGGTCTCGCTCCCTTGCGACCCAACCAGGCATTTTGCCCATTCACCCTGCATGTAAAAAGCATCATCACCTCCTGGAGTCTTCGACAACAACTACGTCGACACCCATTACGCAGTGGCCAAGTGAGCCTTCAGATGCCATCAGATTTCTGTTAATCAAGCGTGACAATGGTTTACTTTTGATGAGTGATTATGATAGTGACAACTCGTGAGCTAGGGTACACCGGTGGTGTGTTTGTGCTGTGTACAAGGGTCGCAGCGCCACACTGTCAGAGTGGGCGTCAAAACCATTCAAAACATCAGTGTCATTTACGTAAGGTCAAAGTTTGTCAAAGTTTTATTGGAAAACTAAAAGGTGATCTTCGGACACTTTACGGTTTTCTTCGGAAACTTTATGGCTTTTCTTCGGAATCTAACCTTTGGAAACTTTACAGTTTTCTTCGGAAACTTGTCCGCGCAAAACTAATCTTTGTCAAATAACAGGTTATCTTCGGAAACTTTACGTTTTTTCGCGGAAACTATTCTTCGGAAACTAATATTCGGAAACTAGACGGTCTTCTTCGGAAACTAGACGGAGCTTTTGCAGGGCAAACCACATTTGCAGCACAAACTCAACTTGACCTTTGTCGCAAACCAGGTTGCGGTGGGTACTGGTTATATAACTAAATACAAACTGTACCGTAGCCGTCACAAGGTGGTACGTCAATAACCCCCCGCCCAGCACCCTCGTGCTCCTTCATGCAATTTGGATGCAATATGATGCAATGTGAAAAATTATCAATAATACTTTCTGAAGCATGCAAAAAGCTTCTGCAAACCACAACAAAGTTTCTGAAGATTGCAACAGATCGCGAAATGGTTTCTGAATGTTTCTGAAGATCGCGAAAATAGTTTCTGAAGAATAGTGTCTGAAGAGTAGTTGCGGAAGAAATGTTCAGAAGAATGGAGAGTTGCGGAATACGACTTTGTTCGTGATGGTACAGGATAACGTGTAGCTGTCATGCGTGGACGTTCTTCGGGCCTCAAGGGTAAGCTTGGCTACCCGCTTGTTTGCACAGGTTCCTTCTTCTATTTGATGCAATTAGCTTTGCAAATTTGGCAAAGCTGCATTTGTTGGGCTGCAGCAGGGCCAACACGCAAGGAAGTCATGCATGAGAAGGCCAGTAAACATAAGAATCCACTGGTTTGGATAAAGGACCCACAACTAAAAGCACTGGCAACAATGGGCAAAAGGTTGGAACTCATAAGCGGCCAGAATGCATGTGTCAATGAACACATGCAACAAACCAGTACAGTAATTACCCGTTCAATCCTTTCCAACTCGTCAGAAGTCTTCAGGACCAGCTGGTGGTCACCGCCTGTTTCGGTGACCAAAAAGTCTGCTTCGGCAACTATGTTTCGGTACGCCAAAAAGGTCTGGTTCGGGACCGTTTCACAGGCCATGAAACACAGATTCAGTAACCAGTGTTTCGGTAACCAAAACCTTGAGTGTGGCAAATAAAAATTAAACAAACATCATCCGCCTACACATGGCTGGTTTTCGCACGCATCCTTTTCGTGTTGCCTTGATCCTTCTCAAACAGCAAGCGCTGTTTTAAAAAATGGGCGAGACGCCTTCATGGTGGCAGCATCTCCTTCACAGATGTAAGCATTTTCTGGTTCCATGACAATGTTGTGACACCGATGGCAAAGTTGTGAAACCGCTGACAATGATGAGCATAGCCACCCCACCCAGAGCCCCCCACCCGAATGTAATCTTACTCTCGTTCGATGACATTGTAGCAAAACCGATGACAGTGTTCTGAAACGATGTAACCGATCCCATGCCTCAACCTACATGGCACAGCTGCTAGGGTTCTTGGTTGCAGAAACGGTTAGTTGCTTGGCTGCTGAAACGCGTAGTTGCTGCTGAAATGTACACTTTGGTTATCCCCACAAATTACGAGGGGGGGACGTCCAAAAATGTAACTTACATTTTCCTATGTTTTCGGACCTCAAAAATGTAAGCTTACATTTTTCCCTTGTCATAGGAAAAATGTAAAATCTCCATGCTGACGTATGTCGAAGTACGCAAACAGCCTGCAAATGACATGCCAAACATTCTCAGAGCTTCTTTTCCTCTCTGCTTCTGGTTTGTGCATTGCATCAAGCCGTATTTTACAGCAAGCTTTTCACCTGCCCCTTCCATAGCTTACATGTTTCATTTGGGTTTCACCGTTTACATTCCAGACATTCTTGGCCTGTTGTTCTAGCTTTCACTCGCCACCAAGCTATGATCTACTACGCAGCTGTGCACTCCCCAGCGTCTTAAGATGTTTTGAGATTACATTGACATTCATGGTATTTTACAGCAAGCTTTTCACCTGCCCCTTCCATAGCTT